TTTGAACCTCTGCCATCATTCGATCCTCCTCTTCCTGTACTTGTTGGATCTCAATCACCGGTGGGCCCGAAAGGGTTTCAATTACATATTGATTGAATAAAGATTCTTGAATCCGATCAAAAAATGTGCTCACATGGAAAGAGGATGCAAGAACTTTGACTAACAATGTTTTCAATAGCCAAACGATTGTCCCCACCAAAAGACATATCCAAATCTTTGTCACATAAGGCAAAACCTTCCCATGTGCCATTCGTTCAACTTTTTTATCAAATATGCATTGCCATGCGATTAGAACTAAAGTTAACCAAACACAATTTTGAACTGCTTTTCGTAATCCATACACGAAATATAAAACCTTTTTCCGAAGTAAGAAGTTTCCTTCTATCAAGTTTACAAGAACCCTAATCCCCCACCCTGAAACCAATCGTCCACTGATCAAAACTAACATCATAACCCCCCATTTCCACAAGACAAGTTCATAGATTTCCTTGTTCTTGAAATAAGGAATTGTGAGAGAACAAATTAAAGCAGCAAGAATGAGGATTAAACCGAATAGCTGAAGTACAGTCCATTTGTTATACCTTATTTGCTTATATTCATCAGGTAAATCATCGTCCAAAAATGGATCGTCTTCGTCGATTTCACTACCACCTTTCCCTAAAAATCCCGACTTCGATTGTCTACCGGACCTCTGATCTATCTCCGGTGGATCCATTAATCTAGACTTCGTTTTCGTTCGCATTAAGCTCGATTTTCTCTTAAACGAAGAATTCGAGGAGCAAATCAACACTTCTTCACCACCACCACCAGCGCCACCGCCGCCGCCGCCACAACCACTACCACTACCATTAGACCTCTGCCGTAGAGGCTGTGGCTCAATCACCTCCTCATGAAAGGAAACCCTAACTTCCTTAGGCGAGAGCATGCCGTAGTTACTCGGACTCTCGGCTATCCTTGATAACGGCGGAGACTGTTGCGTCGATGGCGTATCAGAAGTCATGAAATCAAAGTTATCATTGTTTTTCGAGAAATCGTAACTCGATTCTCTCCAAACTTTGTTAGGGTTTTGCTGGTCCACAACAGAGTTGAACTTGTATGCCGCCAGCTCTGCTTCTTTTATAAGATCGACATTACCGTTTGTACCCTTACCTGTATCTCTCCGGCGTTCGCCGGAATCCGGAAGTGGCAGAGAGGAAGACATAGTAGTTGATGGAAACTGATCAACGGCGTTATCGTTCACGTGAAGCAGGATTTGCTTTTCTTCAAGCTCGATCTGTGGTTCGTGTTGGGGAGATTTGTTGAAAGATTTTCTGAATTTGTCCATTACAGTCAACAATGTTCGAAGAATTTAAATCGAAAGCGTCAGATTAAATTATTATTCTTCAGGAACGGTGCACAAAGCAAGGTGATGAATCATCAAAGGCAAAGCACCTACTAATTTTAAAAAGGACGACACAGTTTTTTGTGAAGAAGAAATACCTTCAACTTTATATTAGTTTGCACTTTACACCTCATAAAATCATTATTTCAAATTAAATTCTAAATATTGTTTTCTCTAGAAGCTCCGAGACCCGACCTTCTTAAACGTTTGTATTCTAGGTTATTAACTAAACTAATCACCGTTAATGAGGTTATTAATAAAAGCCATCACTCATCACTTTGTAAAATAAACTTTTTTTATAAAACATATCATCCTCTCGCAGTAACATTTCTGATTTTGAATTTATCATTCCCGATATCATGGTAAAATAACTATTTTTTAATGTAAATTTAATATTTTAATGTGTTAAAACTAATCTTAAACTTCTAACACTACATTTCTTTTAAAAAAATGTCTAACAAATGAATTATTAATTAATATATGAGCATCCACTTACCAATTAACACATTTATTAATTGAACTATTAAACTTTCATTAATCAATCCGTAAATTATAACGTCACTTTCAAAATATTACTTTGCGTTTATAAACACATTGATGTTACTATGTGTTTATAAACACATTGAGCGATTGATTATACTTATGTGACCAACAATTTTTTTTTTAATTAATGGTACTTAATGGATCAATTGAAAAATGATTTCTTTTGTACAAGTTGTTTTACTATAAAAGAATTACTTATTAAATTTATAAAATATAATTTCTTTTCATTGATAAATAATATATAAATAGAAAAACTTCATCTATAATTATATATTTTTCGATTTTAAGAATTCTAGATAACAGTTGGGGACGTATAAACGGAGTTCTCAAAGTTCAAACATTAGACACCCTATAAAGTAGCTTATTGACTTATTTCCATTATCATCACTTATTTCTTGTATTTATTTATACATTTTTAATTGCCTTGTAAATTATTAAATAAAAGATTTTATTTCCCATATAGTATTAGTCTAAGATCCTTAATACTTTTACAATATAATTATAATCATGTATAACCAAGGGACACAAATATGTTATCTTATATAAAAGACCATCATTTTCATTTCTACAAAATAAAGAGTTATCTGGAATCACAATAATTGGATTTTTAATAAATTAAACGTGTTTATAATTTAATTTTAACATTAACTATTTACTTTTTTTATCTAATATATTTAATTTTTTTAGCTAAATATTTTTAGATATAAACTACCGTCATTTTTTATGCTACAAACGTTTGAGTTGATATAATTATAATTAATTTCTTATTTTAAATGTGTTATTGAACACAAATCGTAAATTATATTTAATTATATTTAATTATATCACGATATAAATCATTTTGCAGTTTTAATAGATATCGTTTTTATTACATTGTTCATAATTATTACGATGTTTTATATCATTTTCATGTACAAAATATAATCTTATAGTTAGTTATAATAATATAATAATATATTTATGAATATTAATTATAAAATTATATTCTACAACAATGATATTTGCCTATTAAAATTTAAAAGTACGTAATGCCTTTTGAAAGTATCCAGTGGTTATTGTCTTATTGATGGACTTGTAGTTGTTAAAATATGGTTTATTAGGGTTGATATTGCAAATGGTCTTAAACGTTAAGGGTCTCTTCAGATCAATCAACACCATAGTAACAGTTGTCAACAATCTTTTCGTTTGTCTGAAAGCCGCGTCTGTGGGAACAGTGGCATATAATTGCACGTCTCATAGTCTACGTGCGAGAAAACATGGAATGTAATATAAAATTTTTCAAGATATTATAATTAATGGTGTTGCCATTTTTACAAATATTTGTTACATGTATCTATAACTTATTATTTTCTATATGTTAATATATGTAGGTCAGTTTGTAATTATGTAAGAGATTTGATCACATAAAAGCATGATATAAATTCATATTGAAATATATTTGGTTACCTATATTAAGATTGAACTTTGGTCGTTGGGATTTTATCTGGCGACCAAATCATTTTTTTTATTTTAAAGCTATAAAATATGTAAATAAACATTGATTCTCAATAATATTTCGAAAAATAGATATAATATGTTTTTTAAAGGATTCTCGAGATGAATTTAAAATTTAAAATTAATTATATACTAGAAATTGCCCCCTTCCGGTTTCGTGAGGGACGTATGTGAAGTTTTGCTTCTATGTGCACGGTTTGCGAGGGAGAGGGCGTAATTTGATTTGATGTTAATTTTATTCTATAGGTATTTTTTCGTGGATGTAAGCATGTTTTAAAATACGGTGGAGGAGTAGCGTTAATTCTTACAAAACGATGTATGAAAGGTAAAATGTGGAAAATATTGTTTAAATTTGACGGGGTGAAAATGATATTTTACAAAGTAGAGGAGTGAAAAATGTCGTTATACAAAGTAGCGGTGGAAAGTGTCAACATATAAAATTCCAGTAATAAAACTTACCAACATAGAAAAATCTTATGACCAAAAATCTAAAATAAGAAAGTCTTACGGCCAAAATCTAAAATAGAAAACTCTTATGTAAAAAGCGTGAAACACAAAAACTATAATATTCCTAAATCTTCTTAAAGCCAAAATCTCAAACAAAAAACTTTTGTGTCAAAAATATAAAACACAAAAACTATACTATTCCTAAGAACTTTTGTTTTAATATATATAACTAGAAAAGAGCCCCCGTGTAGCGGGGGTTACATTCGGATCAAAACCATGAACAACAACAGGGAACGATATATGGTTTCGTTATTTAATTATCGGTGGATACATGCTACATTGATATATTATGCAAAAGGTGAAGCTCATCTAGTCGGTAGAGTTTTTCTTCATCTGACGTTTGTAAGCTCCGATTCTTGTATGGATTGATGCAATCATGAACGCTAGGTTGTCTTCCATGGACTCGTCGTCTGATTTTGCGTCCTGAAGGATTTTTTTTAGACTTTTGTACCTCTGTTCATCAGTTGTGGTTGAGATGATGTCGTAGGAGTTGTCGTCCATGTTGAATCCTTCTTGGAGCTTTGTTTCGGTTGCTTCCATCAGATCTTGGATCTCTCGGAGGTATGCGATTAGGGAGAGTAGAACCTTATCGATAGCTTGGGAAGACATTTAGTTGGTTTTTTTTAAAGGGATTGGGAAATAACAGGGTTTATATATGAATGAGAAATCGGTAGCTGGAATCTGGATAGTGAAGTGTATGCATGTAGTGTACATACGTGTAATAGATGTTTACAGGTCTTGTTTGGTACTGTTCATTTGTTTTCGTGGCGACTCTTGGTGAGCCTCATAAATGTTTTGAAAAAAGAACACACACAATGTTTTTTTTGTTGGTTACAGGGAACATAATAATATGCATATTTAGTTCTTTAATAATTTTTTTGTAATAGTAGATTCGACATCAAAAGCATGGAACATAGCAGTGTATGAAAAACTACAAACACAATCGTGTCTCATATGTCATTTAGGGGCAGAAAACACACAACACAAAGATTTTTCAAAACACAGGATACTATTGTTCAGTCTTGATTTCAGCAAAATGAAAGTACGGAAGTCAGTTGATCCTTGTTTCGTCTGTTTAGTTGTGAGACTGTTTCTGTACTTTCTGTGGTGGAGTGTCATCTGTATATTTGTAAAAAGAAATTATGTGCTGCAATATTAAATACATATAGAAAAGATGGGAACATGGGTATATACCTGGAGTTTCGTATGATAGCATTCTTCTACTGTCTGATGTCTGTGGAGTTGATGATGAATCACCATAGGTATCTTTGGAAGTGATGTGTTTCATATGAGATGGAGGTGTAGAGGTTGTTGGAAGTGCTGATGGGGTAAGGCTATTGGTGTCTGTCATATCTACAATCAAGAAACGGATAGTTTCTGGTGGTGATGTTTTTAACAATTGAATTGATATGTTTTTCAGTGACCCTTTTAGTTGGCTAATTATGGGAGGCATAGTTCTTCGGTTCGTGCGGTTATCTTCAGAGAAAATCTTGTCTGGAGTTGTTCCAGTAATCTTGCGTGCGGCATTGTCAGTGATAGATGCAGTTATGGTGGCAATATTGTCTGTGACTCTTGCGGTTAATTTATAACTGTTTAGATGTTGTTTTAGTTAGTAAGGAGGAATGATAACAATTGTATATAAACAAAAAGAATTGACACTTACAGAAATGTTGGTGACTGCACTGTTCCATGGGCACTGCAAAACCAATGCATTCTTTTTTCAAAAATCGGATCTTTACATGTAGGACACATCACTTGACACCAATAATCCTTGAATGAGATTTCCAGGATGGATCCTCTAACTGCAAAGGTTTTGTCCTACAGATAAGAAAAGAAAATGAACAGGTGTATCTAATATTGTTAATATTTGGTTTGTAAATATTTTTATCTTTCACATACCTGCAATTCAGAGCGTGATTTGGTTGTCAATTTATCCAAAGTTATTGGAACACCTGATGGGGCTTGGATTGGTCTACAGGGGCCTGTGAATCTGCATAGTGAAATGAAATGATACAACCTATTTCTGCATGATAGAGTTACAATGAATGCCAAATGTTATTTACCTATTGATAAGGATTGTTGTCTCTGGAATTTGTGGATTTGCATATATATGAGTTGCACTGGATGATCCATGCCTTAGCGTTCCTGTATTAGAAATGGAAGGGGTGTGATGGTAGTTTTAATTTAGTTTTTAGGTGAGAATGTGGAATGTATATATCATAATTATATCATCTTTGTTTTATTATTCGTACCTTCGTTCTTTGATGCTTTTAAGTTAGTGACTGCAACAACCGTTGTTGCAGGTGGTGGTATCAGCTGTTCAAGGTTGAATTTTTCAGGAGAGATGGTACATTCTTTCCAGAGGTTGATCGCCAGTTCGTCCCCGCTAATATCAATTTATAACATAAGGGTTAGGAGATATTCAGATAATTGCAAGAGATAATATCTGAAGTGTTTGTTTATCAACCTTTCATCAGTAAGTACCAGAAGCACAAAAGGTGCTCCATTCTTTTTTGTGCAGTTTCGTATTTTTGTAAGGACACCGATGAAATCTTTGTGGTAAAAGGTACAAAAATGTAAGAAAATATGTATACAAACTGAAGTACACAATAAGAAAAATAAAGAAATCATTTGTATTTTATATGGTCATTTGCTAAGCTGGGGGTATATATGTACCTGGAAGGTATGGTGGATGTTCTCCAAGTTCCAGCAGCTGAGATTTTGAAACAAAGTGAAACTAGGTCTTAGGGATAATTGATGTTTCTGGTAGAGGTCTGATTGTAGAGGCAATCCCAACATCAATGTATATGTCATTGTGAAGAACCTTTTGATACTCGTCCAACAGTAGACATGTATATTCACTAATGGTGTAGCAGTTGGATACAGTAAGGATCGTCTCTATATATTCTTGGTTTGTTCTTTGTCCTAGTATCTGTATTGCATCCCCCTAACACATTTTCAGATGTCAGAATTGTACATGTAAAAATATATATATGATGGAGAGCAAGGATAATATAATAAAACCTACATATTTGTCAACACCGAGAAACCAAGTTTCATACCGACGTTTATCTGGCTTCCATTTACGTAGTATCCGTACTTGTACTGCATCTCCAACACATGCATACTTTAGGTCTGAAATAGATGTCATGTTCTGGTGGCTGTTTCTAAAAAGAAAGAAGCATACAATAGTTAAAGGTAGTAAGAGAAAATAAGTTAGTATAAGAAGATTGGGTTGATAGTAGATGCTTATCATGTAGATACTTTTCAATCAGTTACACACAACAATAAATAGATTTGAACCTTGACTAAGGACAGTAGTTTATTACAAAATTTTGTTTTGAACGTGATATAGAAAAGGAAAGAAGAAAAAGCTGCGAAATGGAAGAAGAAAGTGAGATAGGAAAGGACTTCTTAGTTAATATGGGTAGAAACCCTTTTCATATCAACTTTGGATAACAAATCTTTATAGACAACATTTTTTGTTACATTATATGGCATGTATTCATTATTATTTATGACAACTTTGATTGAGTCAGGGGATGTTGCTCTAGATAACGCAACATAAAGTTGACCATGAGCAAAAACTGGTTGCGAGAGGTACACTCCAATTTTCTGTAGTGATTGTCCCTGGCTTTTGTTAATTGTCATCGCATAACAGACTTTTATTGGGAATTGTTTTCGTGAGAACGAAAAGGGTAGATTTGGTGGGTTATGGATGAACTTTATTCGAGGTATATACACCCGCTTGCCAGCACATGTTCCAGTGATGATTGTTGCTTCTATCACAAAAGGGAGTAGCTGGGAGACTATAAGACGTGTACCGTTACACAGACCATCCCTTTGGTTGATGGTTCTTAGTAGGATGACAGGGGTATTGACTTTTAATAGTAGTGCATGTGGCGGTAGCCCAGCAAAGTGTAATTCATTTAGGTATTCCATTGGATACAACCCTTCTAAATCTGATGTGTATTTTCCGTTTGGCTGCATGGCATATGTGCTTTTATAAAGCCTTTCATGGGAGGTTGTCATTTGGAGTATCTTGTTGTTGATTTCATCAGCAGCTTCATTTGTTGGACAAAAGATTGCCCTAACTGAAAGTTCTGCAGCAGATGGGTTATCAAGCAGTTTGTTTCCATATACAAATTGTATGAGATAATGCAATGAATGGTCACCTGGAGGAATCAAAAAAGATGATGGAATGTTAACCCATGATGTGTTGTGTGGATTGTCTTCATCAGGTTCACCTATATTTCTGTCCCCAATATTTAGTATCCATTCAGCGAACGCAGATGTGGAGAACTGATGGTTAGTATGGGAAGGTGATTTATGTAACCTCATATTGTCATGTAGTTTGTATAAGCGAAAGGATTTCCATAGGTACGAATTTGGCAGGGTCGAAGAGATAATAGCACTGCGTGTGCTGTTCGGTAAAACTGGAAGTGTTTGACGAAAGTCTCCTCCTAAAAGAACAGAGATTCCACCGAAGGGCAGTGTATCACACTCAAGAACATCACGCAGTGAGTGGTCAACATATTCAAAGCACCATCGATCGCTCATTGGAGCTTCATCCCAGATAATGATTGACGTTTGAGAGAGTAGCTGTCCAAGGGAGGTTCTTTTCTTGATATCACATGATGTTTTTTCTGTTAAGTCGATTGGTATCTTGAATCTTGAGTGTGCCGTTCTTCCGGATGGAAGTAGAAGTGACGCTATCCCAGAAGCAGCTACCGCCAGAATAATTTTTCCGATAGACCTAAAGTATGCAATTATAACCGTCCAGAGGAAGGTCTTTCCAGTACCGCCATGTCCGTACACAAAAAGAAGGGCTTGTTGTTTCTGGCTTTCAGATGTGATTACAGCCTGGTAGATAGCTGACTGTTCAACATTTAGCTGTGATAACATCTGCAGGTGTTGTCTTTTCAATAATTCTTTATCATATGTGCTTTTCTCTAACAGAAGACGGTTGTGTAGGATATCAAGGGATGCAGTTGATGGCATCTGCAGTTGGAAGTCAATCAAAGATTTTGATGGTGTGGAGGACTGGAGTATGTTTTCCAAATCCAAAAGTAACTGTTGTTGAATGATGTTATCATTTATGCTGAAGTGTGTGTCTGGAAAATCAACGTGCATCTTATGAATATAGTCATCACTCATTTTTTGTGATGCGATTTCCCATAACAGTTCTGGGTTGGTTACTTCACAGAACAACAATAAATGACAAAAAAGGGAACGCAACTGAGAAGATGTTGCCCATGAAGATGCTTCTATAAAAGAAGTCATCCATTCTACATCGTTGCCTACTAATCCTAAAGCGTTACATGCACTTCTAAAGTTTGGATGCAGATGGCCAGATACTGTACGAACATCTTCATAAGAGGTGCATCCTTTCTGATGGCACAATAACATCCGGAGAAAGAATAATTCTCCGGAAGATGGATGTACAAATAGAAGCCTTCCAACAGCCTTAGAAGAGTCAAAGGCCCTCCGTGACCATTCTTTTGATCGACTGTCCCACTTGTATTTGTTTGGATAATCTATGTAAGTGAGATTACGACCTTTAGGATCTCTTACATTACTATCAAACCATGCAAGAAGAGGAGTTCTGCTGAAGGTAGGATTACTAAGAACCTGATCTAATCTCGTGTTTCCTTTAAAGATAACATGCTGCATATATGGGAGATGTACAGGAAGTCTATGCACTGATGGATGACGGAGGTGGATCTTGAAATTGAGGATCCGCCATGCTGATTCGTGGGGACAAATATAACGGCCATCCAAAAAGTTTTGAACCTCGTTGACAGGGCGTGGTGGGACGTTTGGAGACATGACGTCGTTGGATTCGGTTCTTTGGATGTGAAACCTGACTCTTTCAACACCTTTTGATATGTACTTAAAAAGGTACTTCACCATCATGTTCCAACCGCAATATTCAACATTTATGTGGGCACCGAACCTACAACACAATCTTTTGTTGTAGGGAACAACGTATCCATTGTCAACTACAATACCGTTTGGCATTATGTAACGTGCATGACAATTTCTTTTATAGTGTGCATACCCTTGTTTGTCAAACACTGTAGCGTCTTGGAATGGTTTTGGAAACTTTTTGCTGCATTTTCCTTGTTTCATACACGGAGCATTCTTGTTTAATAAACCACATGGCCCATGAAGCATGGAGGTTGTTACTATGTGATATAGTGATGGTTCTGAAATTGGATCAGGCAACTCTGCAGTTATGTATATGTCGATATCAGAAGGCTCTTTGATTCTATCGAAAGGTGCTGTCCATAACAATGTATGACAGTGTGGAAGGCCTCTTTTTTGGAATTCTATTGTATAGAGATCTGCAATAATTTAGGAAAGAGTTAGTGAAAGTGTTAACCTAGTAATGACTTAGTGAAAGTGTTAACGTAGAAAAAAAAGACGTTGAAGTATTTGAGGCAAAAAAATGTATACATACATGCGTGAACACTGCCAAATGTGTTATCTTCTTTAATAAATTTGATGAAGGCATCAACCTTAATCTGGAAAACTCGTGCGATTATATCTGCTCTGCTGTGGACATCGTGTTAATGATGGGAATCCATGTAGCGCTTGATTTCTGGCCACTTTACATTACATGTAAAGGTGACAAAAAACTGCGGATTGCCATATACTCTACATATGGCAATGACGTCCTGGTAATGTGTATACATATAGCGGGGACCGCCTACAAAGGATGCAGGCAAGTAGACGCGTTTACCTACAACATGGCTGTCTCTATCACCTTTGGAGAGTGCATCATAAAGACCACTGATGTAGTCTGTGCGCAACTCTTCCTGATGGTGCAATATGTAGTCGAGACGTTCCTCCTCAATACAGGTGTTAGAGTCGACCAAATATTGTTGGAAGAGGCGACCAGAGTGTAAAATGTGAGAATGAATGTGATGACGTGCATGAATCTGGTAGCTGTAATACATATTAACAGTGAGATTTTTTGGAGTATCACCTGTTGTGTTGTGGAGTTTGAGGCGGGGGGACCAACCTTCCTCTCCATAAGGAAAAAGAATAGGATATTGTAGAGGCATATAACTGGGATGGAGCTTGCTAACACGCTACAGACGGCCATATTTGGACTGCAGAATAATATCATATCTTGCACCATTATTTTTATCTCCGATGATTATGCCACCAAGGGTACCAGGAGCTGGAGGACCGTAACAACGATCAGGAACAATATTATAGAGACAAACTGAATAAGCTTCTAAACCCATCTCATCTGCGATTTGTTTTGCTGTTTTAAATGTCCGGACATATTCATTATGGACCGTCAGAAAGTGTATAAGAAGTTGTATAATGGCAGGGTCAAGGTTATGCTTCTTAGGGGTATTGAATGCATTTAGTTTGTTAGAGATTTCATTTTGGGTATCATGTATGTACAATTGCAGGAATCTTGGTGCATCATCATTATCGGGGAAAATAGACCCAATGGAATGGAAAATCTGCCCTGATATTTTGAAAACGTAAGGACCACGACCTTTGTTAACCTCTTCATCTACAGTCACTCCAAAAGAGGTCAATGAAAACATACTGTTATATGCCCTAATGTCAACCATGAAAGAACGATTCATATACAGAGTGTGAATTTCGGGCGGTGGGAGGAGAGGATACGGAAGCACAACACAACCAGACCTGCAGCATTGGGTATATTGTGGATGACTAACCGTGGAATGGGTAATATTTCTTTCAGCAAACCAGAAAAGAGCTCCACAGAACTCGCAGATGCAGATGCAATCTCCACAGTCATAGAATGGAGGCATAGCCGAGATACTAATAAGGCGCTTACGGCGGGAAGAACGTAGGAATCCATCAGGCGATGCAGAGGAGGAAGACGGAATGGAAGCGTGTTTACGTTTAGGCATAGGGAAAAGCAAGGATAGAAGGGGACGACGAAAATGACAGACATCATAAAAGAAATAAACCGAAGAAAAGAAAAGGGGGTTTTACCTGGAGAAGACGAAAGCGGGGACAGTGAAGATGGTCATTGAGGGGGGAGAGGATAAGAAAAGAGATCAGCATAATACGTAAACTCGCATAAACGGTGGAGCCAATAAGGCGGGAACAAATGGGAAGCAGAACCGAGAAAACGCCTGAGAGAGAAGCAGGTGGCAAAAGAAAACCCCCGTGGACAAAAAAAACCCTCCTTCACTTAAGGCGTTTACAGGAAAACCCCCCTCCTTCAATTCTTTTGAATAAAAAGACAAAAGAGACAAAAGAAAAAATCCAAAAAAAAAGCCAATAGGAGGCGTTTACTGTTGGCTAAGGAACCTGCTATTAATATGTTTATAAATAATTTTTATTTTTATTAACGGCAGCCTAATTATTTGATTCAAAATTTTCTAGTTAAAGTAAACTTCTTTATTTAACATTGATTTTTAGGCTTGTGGGTGTAGGCTTGGTACCGGGTACGGTTCGCCACGTCACTTTCGGTGTACACCGCGTGTGGGTGCGTGGTTTGAACTGAGCTCGACCAAAACTTGCCACGATCTCTCTCTCTCTCTCTCTCTCTCTCTCTCTCTCTTCAATGTTACCATTTTTTCTAATTCGATTTTTACCTATAGATAAAATTTCCAGTGCCCATACATACCACACTTCAATACATTCTTCAATGTCTCTATATTTTTTCTCTCAATATTTTTTAAAAAAATGTTTTCTTCCGACAATCCAAACTGTTACACCCGATTTATGGGTTATGGTCTATCTATTAATCATCTTTAAGTTCGAATTGGGTTTATGGTTGGGTCGTGTTGCGGTTGCTTGGTGTTCGTGGCGCGTGCAACGTCATTAAGTAGTGACGCTATTGGTAGTTAGTCATGATGTAGTGGCCACCACAACTCAAAACCCTAGGTCTCGGTTTTTAAGCCCTATTTAAGGAATAAAATGTTTAGGGTTAGTCATTTTCATCAACCTCAATGTCAAGAAACCCTCAAACCATTGAGACACTAGCCCCTTCCATCTCTTTTGGTGATCTTGGTTCTTTTTATGAAGCTTGAAGTTGAAGCAAGGAAGGTTTTGGTGTAAAAATTTTTTGTTGGAATAAGTGTCTAAAATCATAAGTAAATTGTTCAAGGTCATAACTAAATTGATATAACTTTATGGAATAAAAGTAAAGTCTTTTTTGGATTGCCCTCAAAATCTAGAAATATCTAGAAATGACTTTGATAGAGACATAAAATGATTTTTAATTTATTATGTGATTAATAAATTAATTAGAAATAGTTAATAATTAATTATGAAGTAATTAGAGATAGTCATAATTAATTAAAAACTAATCTGAATTAATCTGAAATTAACTCTAGACTAATTGGAATTAAATAAAGGTGCAAATGGTGAATTGTAATTGTTCAGTGTTTGAACAAAAGAAATAGTTTTAGAACCATCCAAGCATGGACAATTTTAAGGAGAATTTTAGGGTTTCTAAAAGCCTCCTGGTTGCTGATAAGGAAATGATTTGAACTAGGATCAAATCTAATATTTAATTGTTCAAATCTAGATTTATCTACAAGTTACCTAAACTATAAATAGGACCCTTGTGCATCATATTTTCATGATCTCTTATACATATAAGGTGCAGAACGATATTCTCTTCATTCTTCCTCTATCCTCTTGTCTTTCTAGTGTTCTAGGGTTTTGGGTATGAACTATTAGAGGTGTTCATACTTTTGGCACTTGCTTTCCATGGACTTTGAAGATCAAAGGAGATTAACATATTTGATTATGTTAAAGGTATGTTCTCTTAATAGTAATTTCGATTCTAATATATTTGATGTTTTGTTTCATAAAGTATGTTGCTAATAATAGTGAAAGACCAAAGATCATGTTTTAGGTTGCATGTGCCCTTAACTGTTAAGTGGAATTCCGCATGTATAATATTATTGTAACCTAAAAAACCCCATTAGTGGTATCATAGCCATGCTTGTTCAATTATTAGTGCATAAAGATGAAACCATAAAACTAAAGAAAAATCGTCAAAATGCTGAAACCACAACGTAGGCAGTCCTCTGCCATGTCGTGGGAACTGCCTGAGATTTAAACTCGTGATTTTTTACCTTATTTAAAAAATAGGATAATTATTAGTTATTTAATATTATTTTAAATGTTTATAATATGAATATTATAACTAAATAATTTAGAAATCCTAATTTGAATATAAAGAAGTTAAAAAAAAGGTAATTATTCAATTATAAGATAATTAGATAATATGATTATCCTTTAATAAGTTTTACATTAATTAATTAAAAGGTTAATGATAAGAACCTCAAGGTATACTCTAGGAGAAAGACACGGGTCAAAGCAGCAGATGAGGAGCAACTTAATACTATTTTCGGATTTTGGTTAGACCCATTGGGTCAACAAACTACCGAGAAAACTGAAGGGAGAGGAACAGTTCAAATCCTTCAGTTCAGGAGCAGTTAACTTCAGTTTTTAATATTTTAGCAGGCTTAGTTTTTTTTAGTTCAGTTGTTGAATATTTCATTTTTTGTCATCTTGTTTGTATTGGAGACCCTCCATCTCGAATTTGGCTTTTCTTTTATAAAAGTTTGAATCATTCGCTGCTTAATTATCTGGTTCTTATCATTGGTTCCATTGCCGGGAATTCGAAAGAATGGTGCAGACCCGGAACAATTCAGAAGAAAGCAGTCAACCGCCTGATCCAGTGGCAGTGCAATTGGCTGCCATAGTGAAGAAATTAGAGTCTATAGATGCCTTACAGAAGGATGTTGCAGCTCTTAAATCACAATCACACAACATGGATAGATCGGGTAACAGTTATGGAAAGCATGACGAAGGGGAGTCTTCATGGCGTTATCAAAGGGATCGTCCAAATAATAAAATTCCCTTTCCCACCTTTAGTGATGGTGATATTCGAGGATGGATCCTTAAGGCTGAGAAGTATTTCCATTATTACGACATACCAGAAGAAGAGAAAGTAGATGTTGCTTCAATGCACCTGGAAGGGGATGCTTTAGATTTTTATTCGTGGCTTTCTACAGATCAAACAATAGAGCTTTGGGAAGAACTAGTCCATGCTTTGTAGAAAAACTGTGGGCCTACTGAGTTTCAAAACCCAGACGAGCATTTGTGCAATGTAAAACAAATAGGGACGATACAAGAATATCGACAAGAATTTGCTAAACGTTCTTCTCGGGTTTCTAATTGGCCTGAACATTGCCTCCTAGGGGTGTTTCTTAATGGTCTCAAAGAAGAACTAAAGGTGGATGTGAGAATTCAGAAACCAAGAACGGTATACAAAGCTGTGAGTATCGCCTTGGAATTCAAATCAAAACTCAGTCATACTCGTCCCGTGAAAGGGCAAACCTGGACAACACCTTCAAAACCCACTCAATCAGAACCCAAAACTTCAAATTTCACCGTAGTTTTGTCCAACAGCAGTTCCAAAACGCCCTCACGAATCACAGATGCTGAAAAACAATCCCGTTATCTCAAGGGAGAATGTTTTCGGTGTGGGGAAAAATATGGGTCGGGTCACCGATGTAAAACTGGCCCTTTCAAGGTGCTGGAAGTGGAGGAAGCTCTGGATGAAACACCAATAAACGAAGTCAGTCACGTTGAAGGGGAAACTAACGAAATTGCTGAGATTAGTTTACATGCTATTTTTGGCAAACCCCAGCCCAAAACAATGAAGGTACAAGGTATGCTTAATTCTACCGAGGTACTTGTTTTAGTTGACGGGGGATCTACACACAATTTCATTTCAGATGTATTGCTAACTGAGTTGAAAATCGAGACCCAAACTGTAGCACCTTTTGGCGTTCAAATAGGAAATGGAGATGTAATTAAGTGCAGCGATGTATGTAAGAATACTCCACTTCAAGTTGATGAATTAAAGATAGTTCAAGACTTTTATCCTTTTTCTATTGATGGAGCAGATGTGGTGTTGGGAGTGCAATGGTTAGCAACATTAAACACGGTTCAAGCTAACTGGAAGGAAATGTTTATGATCTTTTATGTAGATGGTAAACGTTACAAATGGCAGGGTATTTCAACGGGACCTCAAAAGTCAGCTAGTTTTCAACATTTGGCTGTTGAATCAGGTATTAATCCAAAAATTCCACTGATATTACAGCCAATTGTAAACCAATACAACCCTGTCTTTGAAGAACCTAAAACTCTACCTCCAAACCGCTTACAAAACCACTCTATTCCACTACTCCCAAATTCAACTCCACCTAACATACGACCCTACAGATACCCCCATTCTCAAAAGGCTAAAATAGAAAGGCAAGTGGAAGAACTGTTAGCAGCAGGTTTTATTCAACCGAGCAATAGTCCATTTTCAAGCCCAATTTTACTGGTCAAGAAAAAGGATAATACTTGGAGGATGTGCGTAGATTATCGCGCTCTCAATAAAATAACTGTAGCTGACAAGTACCCAATTCCAAATATTGATGAAATGTTATATGAGTTATATGACGCAACAGTGTTTTCTAAACTGGATTAACGCTCCGGTTATTATCAAATCAGGGTATTCGATCAGGACATACCAAAAACAGCTTTTCGGACTCATTCCGGGCATTATGAATTCAAAGTTATGCCATTCGGCCTAACTAATGCCCCTTCTACATTTCAAGCTGTTATGAATGACTTGTTTCGCCCTTATTTGCGTTGTTTCATACTGGTATTTTTTGATGATATATTAGTATACAACACCAGCATGGAACAACATCTTTCACACCTTACACAAACCCTGAAGTTATTACATGACCATCAATTTCTCTCTAAACTCTCCAAATGTTGTTTTGGTCAGTCCAAAGTCTCCTTTCTCGGGCATATCATAACTGCAGAGAGTGTACAAGTTGAGCAGGAAAAAATTTCAGTTGTACAATCTTGGCCTGTCCCT